TTCACTATATCCGCTCTCCCCGGACCCCGCGTTCACTATATCCGCTCTCCCCGGACCCCGCGTTCCCTATATCCGCTCTCCCCGGACCCCGCGTTCCCTATATCCGCTCTCCCCGGACCCCGCGTTCCCTATATCCGCTCTCCCCGGACCCCGCGTTCCCTATATCCGCTCTCCCCGGACCCCGCGTTCCCTATATCCGCTCTCCCCGCACTCACTATATCCGCTCTCTCCCGCACTCACTATATCCGCTCTCCCCGCACTCACTATATCCCGCTCTCCCCGCACTCACTATATCCGCTCTCCCCGCACTCACTATATCCGCTCTCCCCGCACTCACTATATCTGCTCTCCCCGGACCCCGCATTCACTATATCCGCTCTCCCCGGACCCCGCATTCACTATATCCGCTCTCCCCGGACCCCGCATTCACTATATCTGCACAGTACACACAACATGGAAATGCAGTTATTTTAGTAAATATAAACTTCTAAATAGCTTTTTCTCATCAGCAGTATATAGCAGTCTTATGACTTCTATCAGCGTCGCACTGGTTAAAGCTTGTAGGAGGAGTTTTCATTCTCCTGTGAGAGGATGCAGAACCCTTGATCTCTGTCTGGACAGTGTTGATTGGCCCTGAGCTGATCACATGCACTCTCCCAGGAAAAAAAAAAAACCCTCTAGCAATACACACCAAACTGAAAACTGAGCATGTGCAGCTTGCCCCCAAGCCTCTGTTCTATCAGGAGATATTTGGGAGACACTGGAAAAAGGGGAGGATCAGAGAAGACAGAATCAAACATCCTTTTTACACAATGCAGAGGATTAACCCCTTAGGTTCCACAGTGAGTACAACAAGCATGCTTTACTGCAAATACAGACTGATTGTACTGCTGTGGGTTTAGTAACACTTAAATTATAAATAAAATTGTTCTTTTTATCTTAAAAACGTAAGGTTCTAAGTGGGATCATTATAAATAAAATGTTTCAAGCCCACTTTTTTTGTGCACAGCGTATGAGGTAGCCAGCTTATCCTGTACTGTGTGTCCATCATGCCTTGAACTTCTGCACACCCCGGGCACAGGCATGAGGCCCATTGGTGACATACAGGATCTGCTGGCTTTCCTCCAGCCTATCCGTGGAGCTGTGGTTGGGTGCTAAGGGTGTATTTGCTAAACGCTTAAAAAAAATTTTTAGGCCTGAATGATCGGCAAAATCCTCACTGCACTACTAACCAAACTGCAGCCCGTGCCAGAGCTGTTTTTGTGGATTTTTTTGCCAACGTTTAAAAAAATCTGTGAGCCGTTTTTGCATTTTTTGCAAACGCTTAAAAAAATAAACAATTTAGGCCTGAAGATTACACAAAATCGCCAAACATGAGATATTTCTGAAAGCAGATACCCTAGAGGAGGGGTCTCCAAAATGATGGGGCTGCAGCCCACTGGGCCAATGATGCAGCCCTTTGCTTGCCTTCTGCCAGCCCTTGGGGGGCACTATTCCTCCCATTAACACCACCAAGGAGGCACTATTCCTTCCACGACATCAAACAGTGGGGAACCACTATTCTCTCACTGGCACCAGCAATGGGGCATTTTTCCTTTCACTGATGGGCACTATTCCTCCGCACTATAAACAATTGGGCCCTAATGCCCCTGTTATACCAATGATGGGGCACTATTCCTCCCACTGACACCAATGATGATGGGCACTATTCCTCCCACTGACACCAATGATGGGGGCACTATTCCTCCCACTGACACCAATGATGGAGCACTATTCCTCCCACTGACACCAATGATGGGGCACTATTCCTCCCACTGACACCAATGATGGGGCACTATTCCTCCCACTGACACCAATGATGGGGCTTCCGTCCATTTGATGCGGTGCAGTTGTCCTGTCCCCTTAGCAGAAAAACACCCCCAAAGCAGAATGTTTCCACCACCATGTTTCACAGAGTTGGGATGGTGTTCTTGGGGTCATAGGCAGCGTTCCTCCTCCTCCAAACACGGAGAGTTGAGTTGATGCCAAAGAGCTGGATTTTGGTCTCATCTGACCACAACACTTCCCTCCAGTCCTCCTCGGCATCATTCAGATGTTCAGTGGCAGACTTCAGACGGTCCTGGACATGTGCTTTCTTGAGCAGAGGGACCTTGCGGGCACTGCAGGATTTCAGTCCTTGTCGGTTTAGTGTGTTACCAATTGTTTTCTTGGTGACTGTGGTCCCAGCTGCCTGGAGATCATTGACAAGATCCTCACGTGTAGTTCTGGGATGATTCCTCCCTGTTCTCATGATCATTGACACTCCACGAGGTGAGATCTTGCATGGTGCACCAGACCTAGGGAGACTGACACTTGTTTTGTGTTTCTTCCATTTGTGAATGATTGCACCAACTGTTGTCACCTTCTCACCAAGCTGCTTGGCCATAGTTTGGTAGCCCAGTCCAGCCTTGTGTAGGTCTACAATCTTGTCCCTGACATCCTTGGACAGCTCTTTGGTCTTTGCCATGGTGGAGAGTTTGGAATCTGATGGTTTGATTGCTCCTGTGGACAGCTTTCTTTTATACAGGTAACACAATGAGATTAGCAGCACTCCCTTTAAGAGACTGCTTCTAATCTCAGCTTGTTACCTGTATGAAAGACACCTGGTAGCCAGAAATCCTGCTGCATGATAGGGGATCAAATCCTTATTTCCCTCATAAACATGCAGATCAGTCATCATTTGTTAGACGCATTTCTGCTGAATTTGTTGTTGTATTCTGTCTCTCAGTGTTACAATACACCGAACATTCGATTTTTAGACCGATCGTTTCTTTGTGAGTGGGCAAACATTCAAACTCAGCAGGGGAGCAAATACGCATTTCCTTCACTGCACAAATTGTGTAAGGGACCAGAAGATCAAGAAACAACGAAAGAGGTAGCAAAATTGGTGAAGACCAGGGGCAACAGCGCTCACCCAATCAATCATTCAGGCAGAACATATCTCAGTCACTGGGATCTCCCACCAGAGGATGGTCTTCGAAATAAAGGACACGAGGGATCCGACCACGACTCCAGCTCCACTATTGGCACACCGAGACCCTTGGTGAAAAAGCCAGGAGAACAGCTGGGGTGCAAAGAGTATGAGAACGATCGTTCATTTTAACCTGTAGGTGGAATTGGATAGCCCCATTGATAGGCAAGCCTGGCATCTTGTAGTGCCCAGGTGAGAGGGCGGAGAGCTTTTCTTTTTTGCCAGGGTCGCTTAGACAGGTCGGGATACGACGTGACTTGAGCGCCATCAAAGTTCACGATTCCATTAGCCCTGGCTTTAAGCAGTATGGCCTCTGTTTGAAGAAATGCACCCAGCAGAGGACATCCCGAGGTTGACGGATACAAGAAGCCAGGGATCCGATGTACGCGGGTCGATCTTATTTGCGACTGGTTTGTCAAGCAACATGCTAAAGATTCCAGTCACCGTGGGCAGGAGATCCTCAAGCAAGCCCCTAAGGCAAATATTATTTCTCCTATGCCTGTCCTCAGGGTGGTGGATGTGTGACCACAGGGCTTGCAGTTGAGCATGATGATCAGCTAAAACAGAGTGGTGCTCCCCTTGGGCTGTCAAAATAGGCGAGACCACCATCTCCACTGTATCCAAGCGATCACGAAGGCCCTGCAGGCTGGAGCGGAGAGCCACCATGTCCCCTCTTTGTGGCCGTCTTCCATTCTCCTAAACATAGCCTCTAGATCCCTTTTAGTGGGCAGAAGCACCAAATATTCTCCAATGTGCTTGGCAGCTCCTCCCGGCCTCCCTCACGACTTGAATTTGGGTGTCGATCAGGAACAGTGTCAACCAAGCAGTATGCAGAATGAGCCGGGGACGAAGCCTCAGAGCCTGCATGGGAGGGCGCCATCTTGGATGTGTGGAAGGAGTGCCGGCGGCTCGTGGATGTAGGGAGTCTGCTCCAGCGGCTGGTGGAGTGTAGTGCCCCTGGGTCTGCCTTTGGGATTGCTCACTGCTGGCGATTTCGGCCGATCTAGCGAGGCT